ATTGTTAAGGGGTGAAAGTAAATGGTCCGCTTCAATCTCGTTATCAAATGGACAAAAGCTGCATCAAAGTAACAGAAGTCGTCTCCTTTAGAAAACGACATTACTGACGAACAAGTAAAACCCCTGTATTGGAGTTTAAACACTGAATGATGAGTTATTAGTTACAACATGTACTGAGGTTGCAATAATAATAAAAAAATAGTTTCATGAAGTGGTAGTTTCGTTGTCGATAACGACGGACTAACGGATTAGGTCATAAAACATTTAAAATACAATTAATTAATTAAAGCGAACTTTCAAGTACATCGAAATGTTACGATAATATCAATGATGATGATTTGACACAAACGTGACACATTTTGACTTGATAAAGGAAATGAAATTTAGAATGGTAGAAATATCGAAAACAAGATAAGTTTTATGTCACACATAAACTGATTATACAAAACGTAATTATATTAACCTCTTCAATCAATGTTTATGTATACTTCCCCAAAGCTTCTTGAAGGTGTTCAATATCTGGTAAATATTCAAGTCTATTACAATTACGTTAGAGAAAACAATTATATTTTTAAACGAAAACAGCTAACAGTGTAATAAAACAATTGCTTGAAGGGACCATCCAGACGTAAGTAATTCAGCATTAGAATCTTGCCAAAAACGCTTTTTTAGATGGATTAGGGAATCATAGGAACGTCAATCATTTCAAAATTTAAAATATTTTCATATTGTCTTACTTTGTGTAAAATATCTCAATTTCTTTTTAAGCCGGAAATGTATAATAAAGTCCGTTATCCATGTACTGAATGGAAAAACTAAAAATTTCTAAATATTGTTAGTTTTTTTTTTCAGTTCTTATTAATATACTTTCAAGGTTATTTCTTCTTTACGTTTTCAATCTAAAGCTTAAATGATTTTTTATACACTGTAAATGATTAATTATTTTTTTATCTTTTGAATTCTTATTATCTGATATAAATTATGCAAACTGAAATCACCAGTGTGACGTCATAAGACAACAATTCATCCAATTATCTTTATTTCTGATTTCGTTTATATGCCACGAATGTTCCAGTTCTATTTGTAGCCTATTATAAATAACAAGACTGAGTTTACCGAGAACGATGAACGAAGCAGCGTTCAACATGGACGCTCAAATAAAATTGTGTTTCACCAAGCTGAAACACTAACGTTTCATTCTATAATTTAAAAACTTCGAAAATTACTTTGAAACATCTTCTTCCAGTGCCGTGATTATGCGTTTAGAAAATCAACTCTGACATAAACGTATTTAGTAAAATAAATTAAAAACAGGGAAATTGCTAGGCAAAAAAGAAAGAAAGCAATTAATAATAAAATTGATTGAAAATCGGAATACAAAAATAGATAATTGAATTGCGTTTAAAATCGCATTCATTTGTGGACCCATCAAATCAATTTTAATTATTTTTGGATGGACAGCCTTACGCAGCAGTTCAAATTGAAAACAAGTTTCAAGGTCGTGAAAGATAGTAAAACAAATTCTGCAAAGTTTATTTGTGACTTTAATTCTATTACTTTTGTATGGCTTTACGCACAGCATATAAATGTTATGTGACTACAGCAGTTTTTACGGATGAATGTTAAGATGCATATGTGTGTTCATATGTCTATACCAAGACATGTGTACTTAGACACATACATACGTTCATCGAGATTTATATTTGTGTACAATAGTTTTAACAAAGCATTACTGATATTCAAAATCATATGATGTGTTTGTTAAGATGAATAGCGCTGGTAGCAAGAAATGCGTTGTTCTTATGTTAAACGAAGATTCTGTGGAATTTAAAATTATTTATGTTTTGTCAATCAGCAGCAGATAATTAATGTTTCTTGATTTTTTCATGTACCATTTACATCACCTAAAATTATGAAAATTCATTGATTCCTGATTACCGGTAATGCTGCGGTTAGAGCAACATGACTTCGAAAATAACTTTGAAATAATTATCTAATAAACAAATATTCTCTTAATTCAATTTAAAGAGGCAAAATTAATTATAGAGATGTATGATAGCAATTTCAAAAGCGGATTTTTTTTTAAATGCAGCAGTTCACAATGTAAGTCCAACACATTCCCAGGGCTGAAACTACGACTCCAACAGAAATTAAAACTTAGGCAGAATTAATGTGTGAAATCTCAAAATGAACGTTTTCTAAATGAGTATCTCCCTTGATATATTTGTCTTCTATTTGCCGTGATCCTTCATGATATAGGCAGTCAGGCTCTCCACAAGGCCAGGTTTTTTGTAGCTTGTGAAAAATGTTGTCTTTTTGTTATTTCTCCTAACCCTAACCCCGCCATCCATTTACTCAAACTCGCGTTAATTTATGTGTTGCTTCCCTCTTGCTTTAAATCTGTCCTGTGCGCATTTATTTTTCCAAGCGCTCTTTCCTCATTACGCGCTCTAAATCCTTCAACTGCCTCTTTGTGAATTTAATTATAAGTACCCTTCTTGTTTCCGTTTTATCTAAATCATCGTCACTGCTCAGGTGTTTAGTCCATGTTCATTCTAAGTAAACTTCTATAGAACTTCCTAACTTTTGCTTTAGTCTATTATTCAACTGTAAGAAGATTGACCCGCATTCGCTGCTATATAGGAGGACTGATATTACATAACAGTTCAGTTTGCTTATCGTTGTTTCTAAGGATTTTTTTCTCTACCTTATTTGCTTAGCTGTTGGAAATCATTTTTCCCTAAACCAATGGCCTTTGGATTCCAGTGTGGTACTTTTCGTCCTCTCTTAAAACCCATGCCATATATTTAAATTGTTTTACTTGTAAGTTATATTAAGTTATCATTCATTGACTGGATGTTTTACGAATTAGATTTGTATATAAAATACAGATAAGTAACACGCGTATTCCGAAAAGGTAGCGTTTTCAGTGTTTCACACGAAATTAAGTTTACTATGTATTTGCATTTGACATAATTTCGTAGCTTTTTTAATTTAATTTGAACATGTGATTTCGTTTCAAAACAGATTGAATGTTACGACATATATTATTTCCTGAAAAGTGGTATTTCTATATGATTCGAGTGTTGATTACGAATTTTATGTATTTTATTTCGTAAGCGAAAATAGAAGAAATATACATTCTTCGTTATTCCAGTACTTTATTTATTTCCAGAACAGGAAAGCAAAATATTGCAGAAAATTAAAAAGAATGCCATAGTTGAAAGTAAAATTGTTAAATTATTTTCTAGGTTCAAAATTGGAAATTTTGATTTGATAAACAATAAACGTTCAAGCATGGCTATAGCTATTGATGATGGTCAAATTGAAATGCTGTTGTTTTTTTTAAAAACAAAAGATCTTGGCCACACGAGACGGGACGTCGCTGAGATACTCCAAATATCACATATGAGCGTTGTAAGGCATTTTAAAATTTGTCCATACGGGAATCGTTACGATTACACAAAAAGAATAATGAAGTTCATCTTTCTCCGCAATTTTTATCTCAAATGTAACAGAAAAAATTACTTTACAAAGGGCACTGGAAAATTCACTTTTTAGAAAATGTATCGTGAATAAGTTCCCGCACAAAAATAAATGATTCATATCTATAACAGTCTAAAACCATAAGTTGAATTCAGAACGTACTGTTGTCAGTTATATCGATGAATAGCAACAATCAATGAAATGTTTCCACAACTGGGCGAACGGAAGTGATTTGTATTCAAGCCTACCAAGATAACGGCAGATCTCAGAATACCATTCTGCAGACCCGACAAAAAATGGTACAGCTTGGCAGACGTGTTACTGTACTCGTTTTACTCACCTAAATTTGCATCTTGGTATTACAACTTATTTCGTCCCCTACTAACTACCCTTAATAGGATGGGTATCTATTCTTGGGATGTCTGTAAATACAATTTACAAAAGCTGATCGACTCGAAAAATTTGAAATTCTTACAGGTTTGATTTCTGAAAATATATCCAAAAGTGATCAAATGTAGTCGGGAAATGACACATATATTGAATAACATTAAAAAAATAGAATTAAAAATTAAAATAGAATATTAAAATAATGCTTTTGAAATTAACTTAAAAATAATAGGAAAAAATATATTATATTAATAATTTACATTCAGCATCAATTCATAATTTGAAATCAGAGACAAATTATCCGTTTTTTTTAAAATTATCCTTCAATTTATTGTCAATCGTTTTACATTAAGATCAGTAAATACGTTTAAATATTAATAATATGACATTATACGTTGTCCAAATTTTCGATTAAATTACTATCATATCGAAAAGAGATCAGTTTGAAAATTTAATAGATAATATTTTTTCAATATTTCAAATCATCGCCACAGTGATAAAACATCTTTTTTCTGTCTGCCAATAAGTTATTGTAAACTGTCTGTATATAAGTTATTGTAAATATTTACAACGATTTTTGTTGTCTTTTTCACCAAATTGTTATGAGTTCCTTTGCTTTAGTAAAACAAAAATATCTTTCATTAGAATTTTGATATACAAGTTTGGAATCTATTCTGAATAAAGCAGTTTAATTTATTTTATATTACTTCGTTCCTATTATAAAGTGGAGTACGTATAAAAAAAACACACATGTTTATGTGAACGCAATCTTACAATACAAGAAATGTGTATTATTTAAATTGATTTGATTTTATATATTTCCGTTTGTATTCATTCAATACAACATTAGAAATTGTCCCACATGATTTTTCTGCCATTGTTGGTAAACAATTACAACCATTCAGACTGTTGGACAATTCGAATAGAAAAGTTTGCATGCAAATTTTCTGTTGATTTATAAGTAATTGATTTTTTTTTTCTTCAGTGTTTCAAAGACATACTATTCATTTCATTAATAGAGTGTTTTCCATTGCTTTTAATTTTGAAAAGAAATATTTATTTGAAATATATCTGCGATTTACAAATGTGAAAAAATTTCAATGTTACTAAGTTAATGCGAAAACAGA